TTGTAATACTAATAATTAGCCAGAAAAAGTAAACAATTGTGCGCAATGTAATAAAGAGAAAAATATTGTTTTAACAAAGGTCTAAAAACCTTCAAATCGTTTGTAGTTTGGCTACAACTAAAGACATTCTGTCAAACTATGTTAATTTTCAAATTTTACTATAATTCACTAATTCCAAGAATCTTTTATTGAATTTTCTTGCTACTACATAAAACTACAAACGATTTTGAAGGTTTTTAGAGCTTTTTAAAACAATATTTTTTCTTTTTATTACATTGCGCACAATTGTTTACTTTTTCTGGCTAATTATTAGTACTACAAAAAAATTGAAATTACTACAATCAATTGCATCGTTTGTAGTTAATAATAAGCCAAAAATCGAAAACTTTTCTTGAAAGCGGGTTCCAACGTGACGGAGCTCACTAGATGTCAAAATTTACTCATTTTTTTTTTTACTTAAAAAGTATAAATTACCGAACAACATATACCACATCCACAACCGACAATAATAAATCTAATTATCTGCGCAACAATTTTATAAAAATATAAAATTATCTATTATCTGTAGCTATAAAACCTGCAGTTAACTATAAATCTCCTTCAGAAGTCCTTCAGTTTAATAATCTGACCTACCGTAACTCCAATTAATCCTTTTGTCTAGACTAAACACTAGGTTCTGCATGAGAATTGCTTAAATATACCTATATCCCCCAAAACTAAAATATGTTGGAAAGGTATAATTTGCACCGTATGTTTTATTTATATCGTTGACCTGCTCCTTCAAATGTTACACCAACCATGAGAGTCTGTTTCTGTAGAAGAACTATTCAAAATAGATCACAAAAAAGAAGATGGAACGATACGATTAATCTGCCTTACTTGACATTGTGATTCATTATACAGGGTGTTCCAGAAATAAGTGTAAGTATTTTAACTGGAAATAGTTCGAGCCCAGAAACACGCCCATGAGGTTTTTTTGCAAAAGAAATATTGAGTTTTGAAAAGTTTTCTATTTTCCCTGAAATTTTTATTGAAAAACTTTTGAATTGTTCAGATTCCGTAATTTTTTTTAGAGTGCTTCGAGAGAATGCAATGATGCCACTTCCTACGTTATCCACATTCTGTGTGTTGTAATGTTCTTATTTGGGTGGTTCGCATTGAATGCTCTGAAGGAAATATGCTCTAGGACTTCTATAAAAATCAACTTTATTCTTGAATTAATTGTACAACTGTTCTTCTGTAAATCTTAATAGTAATTATTCTATTTTTAGTATTAATGGGTCGCGATAAATTAATCATCGCGCGACACATAATGCATAGTTGCATTTCATAATATCACAAGTAATCTATACTAATCTCTACTAATATATAAAATCCTTAAGTGACTGACATACTGATTAATCACGATCCTGCTTAAACCACTCAACGTAAGAAGCTCAATTTTGGCATACAGGTTGATTTCTAGGGTGTAGAGGTTCGATAAGAAGGGATTTTTCGAAATTCCAGTTCCAAGAGGGTAAAACTACCCCTCAAATATTACAATTTTTTTTATTTAAAAAAAGGTCGTTTCCGAAAAAAACGCTTAAACACGTATATTTTATTTTGTTTTTTTTACATATTTTAAGATTTTTTAAAAAGGGTGAAACTACCCCTCATATATTACAATATTTTTTATTTAAAAAACAGTCAAGTTTCCGAAAAAACGCTTAAACACGTATATTTTATTTTGTTTTTTTACATATTTTAAGATTTTTTAAAAATGTTTACAGGTTGTTTCGAAAAATCTGGTCATTGACTAATCACGATTCTGCTTAAACTGCTTGACGTTTAAAGCTGATTTTTGCCAAACGGATTGATTGAGAGGTTCGATAAGGAAGGGTTTCTCGAATCTCAAATTCCAAGAGGGTGAAAACGCCTCTAAAATATTACAATATTTGTTACAATATTTTTTATTTAAAAAACGGCCAAGTTTCCGAAAAAACGCTTAAACACGTATATTTTATTTTGTTTTACAATTTTAAGATTTTTTAAAAATGTATACAGGGTGTTTCGAAAAATCTGGTCATTGATTAATCACGATCCTGCTTAAAGCGTTTGACGTAAAAAGCTGATTTTTGGAAAACGGATTGACTTTAGGGTGTAGAGGTTCGATAAAAAGGAATTTTTCGAAACTTGAATTCTAAGGGGGTGAAACGACCCCTCAAATATTAGAATATATTTTATCAAAAAACGGTGAGTTTTTCGGAAAAACTCTTAAACACGTATATCTTATTTTCTTATTTTACATATTTTAAGATTTTTTAAAAATTTATACAGGGTGTTTCATAAAATATGACCATTGAGTAATCACGATTCTGCTTCAACGTTTAAAGCTGATTTTTGGCAAACAGATTGACTGTGGGGTGTAGAGGTTCGATAAGGAGGGGTTTCTTGAATCTCAAATTCCAAGAGGGTGAAAACGCCCCTCAAATATTACAATATTTGTTATTTAAAAAACGGTTAGTCTTTCGGGAAAACGCTTGGACACGCACAATTTATTTTGTTTTTTTACATAATTTGATTTTTTTAAAATCATACAGGGTGTTCCAAAAAGTTGGGTAATTGATTAAGCACGATTCTGCTTAAACTGCTTGACGTAAAAAGCTTATTTTTGGCAAACGGATTTTTCGAAAGTCAAAATGGAGAGTTCAAATTGAGACATTGATTTCGAAAGTCAAATCAACGAGATGAAACCACCCCTCAAATATTACCAAGTTATATAATAATATCGCCATATTGTTTTTTCTCATGCTGACATAAATGTGAGAAAATTTTATCCAGTTTGTATGTTAATGGAAATTCTTGCTTGGCTTTATCATCACCATTACAAATGATTAATTCGACTCGAACGAAGTCGCGGGTACACGCAGTTGTAAGTACACATTTTTTATATTATTACCAAATATTTGCAATTGTTTCCCTCAATAGTTATAAGATAATCCTTACTCTTAACTGGATGAGTTAAGATCATTTAACAGCATTTTATACAGCATATCATAATAATAATAGGCAAATGTAAGGTAAGCCCGTAAAATAGCATATTGTTTTATTAGGAGTAAAAATTAAACTTTTTGCGACGAGGCTGTACGTTTGACGACATACAGCCAAGGCACTAAAAGTAATTTTTACTCCGAATAAAATATGCTATTTTTGATAAAACGCCACAAATAATTTTTTAAACAATTTCAATCGTTCCAAAAAAATGTTGCCATTATTTTTTTAAATTTTCGAAGTTAAATAACTCGGTTATTATAAATTTATTTTAAAAATGGTAAAGAGAAAATATATTTCTGTTGGGCAGATCTACCACCCCTTAAATACTTGCACTAATTTCTGGGACACCCTGTATAATTACTTATAAATGTGTAGAAATTTTAATTTGAATATGACCATATATATTCCGTAACATTATGCTATATTTTGAGTAGTAGTTTTAGATATATAGTCCGTCTAGAAAGTATCCGGAATTTTATATTCTTCCCCTAATTTTAATGTATTTTTTTTCCGTAACACCCTAAGACAACAGTAATCCATCACGTAGGTTGTGCCAATAGTAGGCTATGGTCAAAATCGCATGGCAACACCATCTGTCAAATATTGTTGATTGTAAACCGGCTTAAGATTTGAGAAATAATGTCGCAAGTAAAAAAAAAGTGAAATGGTGGAATATTTCTATAGAAAAGGTGTTCGAAACGTTAAAAAATCAGTGCAATTGACTGAACTCGGAAGAAGTGCAGTGTATGAGACAATAAAGAGGATAAAAATTGGCAAAGATATGTAGCATGGACCAGTTTCAGGAAGACCGCGTAAGATTCGCTAAAACAATTTAAACGCTTTAGTGGCATTAGGACGACAGCATCCACGCCTATAGGGTTTTGCAAATTGGTTAACAGATTTGGAAGTAAGCGAAAATTAAAAGTGTGTCCAGAAACCGTACGCATGTCACTGAAAAGACAAGGCTACATATCAAGGAAGCCAAACAAGTCTCTGCAATAACACCTCTACAAAGGCAGCGAAGAATGGATTTTTCTCAACGTTTTCACGAAGATAATTTTAATAATGTTTTTATTTCTGACGAAAGTGTTTCCAGCTTGGTGGAAATCACCTAAAAATCCTATCAAAAGAAAATGTTACCGTTCAAGTTTCAAAATTTCCCACTAAAAGAATGGTTTGGGGAGCAATATCTCAGCGTGGTGCTACACCTCTGTGTACAGTTGATGGAACTGTTAATAGTGCAAGATATTGTGATATTTTAAATGGTTTTCTTCTTGAAACGGCTCATGTTTTATATCCAGAGTGGTGGCGTTTTCAGCAGGATAATGCGAGATGCCATACGTCTGTCTATACTCAAGCTTGAATGCAAGAACACCTTTTGGCAACAATTCCAGAGCCAGCAGCTTCACCAGACCTTAGTCCCATTGAAAACATATGGGTCTAATGAAGATTGAAATAGAACGAGCAGCTTCTTGAAATAAACAAGATTTGATTCGCACAGTTTTACAGGCTTGGACTACCGCCACTGAACATTATGGTGTGGACCTAGTTTCGGGTGTACCTGGCCAAGGATCACAACAAAGAGAATTCTATTTTAATGACGTCACGTTACCTAGCAACCGTTTATTATCGCTTGCAGGCGAGAAATTGGTATCATGAAGGAAATTTAAATGCTCGCCCCTTTCCCCACCCTCCCGGGTAGAATCGAATACATTCTACAACATTTAGCTGATAGAAAATATGTTCTTGCTCTTTCTTCTTAATGCTTCTGACATAGACGACAAATTATTCACGTCAAAAAGTTAAAACGTCATTTTTATGAATTTTTGTAAGGTTAGGTTGGTTTTGGTTAGTGGATTTGGAATAATTTTCTATTTGATTTGTTTTATTTAAAATATCAATGCAAGTGGCAAGTCGGTGGTGCAAGTGTATAAAATAATTAATTTTAATTATCAATATCCACAAACATGAGGATTCAGTCTGATCACTGGGCAGTAATTTTGGACTTTGCAGAGCAACACCCGGAAATTATAACAAATAAGTCGAAAAGTTTAAAAGGGAGAGAGGTTCTTCAACAAAGTTGGAAGGAACTAACGGTCATGCTTAACAGTCCTGGCATGGGGGAGAAAAAGACAGAAGAATGTAAAAAAACCATAATAGATTGGAAAAGTAAAACTAAAGCTAAAGCCGGTTCAATCAGCACCCACCTGGAAGGTACAGGAGGTGGGCCCCCACAAAATGTAACACTGACGTCTTTTGAGGAACGGCTTTTAGCCATAATGGGCAAGGTAGATGCCGAGGGAAATCCAAAAGTTATGGAAGTGGGATAAAAAGATCCGTCAGCCCTCTGCATATAGTGCCCGAACAGCAGCCGCCCTTAAAGCAAATTAAATTGAATAAACCTATCTTCTTAACCCTCAAAAATAGCCAATGTACGCCATTTTTAACAAGTAAGTATTTAGTCTTCATATAGGAAGGAACTATCCCCATTTTCATTCTAATTCCTCTAAGATTGTAGCTCACTCTCAAAGTAATAAAAAGATGTTATCTACGATAAATAAAGAATACACAGACAGGACGAATTCATGAATTCAAGGAAAATGAAGCTCAAAAAAATAATTAACCCCCAAGTAGTGAAACCCTTGATGAAACCTATTTTGCAGGTAAGCTTGTGACTTAATATTCTTAGATGCAGCATCTAAACAGCCAAATCTTTTTTTTTGTTGTTGAAATCAGTATATTGGTCCCTATTTTGATGACTTTCAATTTTACTTTCAAAATCATCATAAAACTTTGCTAAAGGATTGCTATATTCAATGTTCACGTTTGTGTCATAATGCTGCCACCAGCATATCCAATTTGAATGTGCTTGGTGTCATTGATTACAAAAATTTAATAAATAAATTAGAAAAAAAACCTACTTAAAATTCATAGGTCAAACTCAAAACCAGGCCAACTCGATTAGAATAATTGCCGAAGAAACACAAGCACAAGGACTTTTGAAAATAGGTTCCTGTAATATTTAAACACCAACTCAGATACCTGATAAAAGTTAACATTTCTATCACATCTCCTCATACAACCCATTATAGTAAGTATCAAGTTAGATTAGACATTTTTTTGCAAATAGATTATTTTTTATTTGGTAATTTAGTAACAAATTTTAACACATTTAGATCTAATAGAAAACAATCGTAAAATGACACCCACATCCACTTATAAAGGGACATCATCACGATGCAGAGAAACCCAGCTGAATGAACGGCTTGAATCCATGAACAATTCTGTGCTTGAAGTACTAGAAAGAATGGACAATAAAATATCAAAAATTGCTAATCATCTAGGTGAATTAGTTGATGCCATAAAAGACCTGAAGAAATAATGATAAATTTATATTTTTTCCTCAAATAACTACTAAAACTTCTTTGTCCTTTATTTCAGTTTTTCATTGAATTTTTTTTTGAAGCTTAGGAAAATATGTAATAATGCTCGATTTTATAAGCTCCAATTAATTTTCTCCTGCTTTTAAAGAAGGGTGTTTTTTTTGCAGGTTAACTTGAGCTTATAAAAATAGACATGAATAAAAATTAAGACTTCATCTGTATTTTTCAAAATTTGTAGTTTATTGTTATCCTAAAAGCTGAGCAATAAGTTAGATCCATACTAAAGTAAAAATATAAAAATTATATAAGTACTTCTGTAATATTAATAAATGAAAAATAGTAACTCTATTAAGAAGATGAATGAAATAATTATGTGAAACAATACAAAATACAAAACTATTTCCTATGCAAGTGAAAAGTTAGATGCTCAATTAATTGTTATACAAATGCCGAGTTAAAATATCTTTGAATTAAAAGATCTCTAACATCCCTGCCATTTACTGCTTGATGAGCATTATTTAGATATTAATTATTAATATTATTAAATTCATTGTCATTAATTATAGGGGGCTCCTCCAGTTCTGATCTGCCACTAATGCAAATGTTATGTAGTACTGCACAAGCCGTTGTCCTTTGCCCACATTTGGTAGGATTATATCTTATAACTCGTTCTCCCATTAAACACCTAGGTACAAAAGGAAAACAGCCTTTTAAACACTATATGACTATTTGTCAATTCACTTGAAAAATAATTAAAGGATTTGTTTGGCAGATGCTTTACTATTTTATACCTTCTAATAATCATGTATCACGTCTAGAGGGCAAGTGCATATTAAAGAAATAAATATTGATCTTACTTACCTAAATCTCGTTTTTAAAACACCATTGCATCTTTCAATACAAGTTCTGGCAAAAATCTATCCTCGGGTGAATCTGGAGCAGCATTTAGAATCGGTGTCATCAGCCATGGCTCCTGCGGGTAGCCACTATCGCCAATGAGCTAACTCCTATGATCCCCATTATTATAACATTCTTCAAGATACTCTCTTATGTGGATTGTCTCCATATAAATGCATCATGAGTTGCACCTCCCCATCTGGCATTAACATTTAAAATTTTTAAATTGGCATCACATATCTAAAATTCAATTCATTAATTATTGTTTTTAAGATTAAATTACTATGAACTTTAATTTTAACTCACAATTTGCACATTCTTGGAGTGAAATCCTTTTCTATTCAGATAATTGTGCTCCTCCTCAGCTGGAGCTACAATAGCAATATGGGTGCAATCTATAGCACCAATGCATCCCGGAAAATGGTACTTTTCCATAAATTGCCTTTTTATCTTTAGCTTATCGTTAAAATTTCGAGGAAATTTAATCCATTCTTCAGTTAGATGGTCGACAATCAGATCAGTTACTTCATCAATACATTTACTAACAGTATTTTGGGCCATAGATAACTGAAAAGTTTGTCCTATCGTCCTTTGATAAGAACCTGTTGCATAGAAGTATAAACTGGAAAAAATCCTTAATGTAGGATCAACCGCACTTGGATGTGTTGTTTGTGACATATGAGGAACTATTGTTACACATAAATAATGAACCATATCTTTAGTTAATCGAAACAGATCAATGAATTGTGTGTCTCTTAGTAAAAATGGGTCACTTTCGCCCCTCATAAACCCTCTTTCAATATTATATTGATGAATTTCCTGTTGATTTTCATCATTATTGACCAAAATTGCACCCAAGATTTGAACAGGCAGCATCTAAAATAAAAATATTAGCTTGCTTGCTAGGTAGTTGCTGAATATTGACCCAATTTAATTGTGTATTTTATGTATTGACAGTATTCAAATACCTACATTATTTTTATTATTTAATGTAATAAGTACTTTGCAAGGGCACAAAGCTAACACACGTGAAACTTGAACTCCTTGCTTTCAAATTTTCAACAGAAAAACAACAAACTATGAACTAAGAAAACATATTAAATTAAATATACATATTATTTTTTTAAATTTTTAGGTTAGGGTTAGAAACTTGCGTGAAAAATGTCAAAAAACATAAATGTTTTCTGAATAGATAGTAATATTCCGAAAATTGAAAACTAAATTGAACTAAGATTTCTATAATCGCAAGGGATGTGACGTGATACCCCTGGACGTTTAGTTAAGTGTTTGGTGTTCAATAGAGGTTGTATAAGTAAATAAAATTAATAATTTGTTATAATTTTTTTAACTCAAGTCTTAAAAATATATATCAATAATTGTAATTTTGCTTTCTTTTTTCCGGATATTTTCTAGACGGACTATCAATGAGACTCAGTGAGGAAATATTCATAATTTTTTAACATTGAAAATGTTTCTGTTATCCTATATAAGGGAGCCCAAATCGAATTAAAATGCTACATTTGCCACACCATGACGTCATTTATACAAGGGTATAGGAAATCTCGGCACAGCGGCGGCAGTCGGCCAGCGCCCGCAAAAACCATTACATCGCTAATTGTTTATTGATATATCTTTATTAGTTTAAAAGCAAAAAATATGGGGTTTGCTTTGATACCTTGTCAAGACATAAGCGAAACTTTTAAATTGTTTCTTTTTATCATTTAGGCCTTCGTTTTTCGTTAAATGAAAGTTATATTTAAAAAAATCTATTTTTAAACCAAATTTTCGCATGATTGAAATGATTATTCATGTTTAAAGTTTTTTTTGGTCATAAGCGCTAATGGAAATGTTTTTTGTAAATAATTAAAAAATTACTCCCTACGAAGACTTTATTGTGTACTGGATCAAAAAATAAGTATTTGTTTTCTCTATACGGTGGTATTAATATATCGATTTTTGATGATAGTGCCCTTTTACCCGGTCTAATTTTGCACTACTTTCGGAATAAGGGTCCCCATATCATGTACTGTACTTCCATCCCTGAAAAAATCAGCTTGTGACACCGAAGTGAGAGGTAATGTCAAAATAAGCTTTAATCTACCTACATCATAGGTAGGTGTAGGTACTCTAGGTATATTTTACCTAGACAGTAGCTGAACTAGCTGACAGTAGTAATTAATTTGTTATCCGATATGTAGTTGTCATTATATAAGTTTAATCATCTTATACCTCCTATAACGGTAGATTTTGGATTTTTCCTGATTGGTTTGTTAAACAAAAATATACTGGGCATATAAATGTCTGTTACAGGTTAATTCGTTAAAGAAATATCTTACACACATATTATTTTAATAATAATAGTATAATAGTAATGGCTATATTATGTTATAACACATACATATGTATTGAATGTACTTATTCAAAACATATGTATGTGCATTGTTTTGTTTTTTTAATCACACAAATAAGAAATATTTTATAGTTTTTATTATGAAAAACAGTGATTATACAATTTATTTACACCCCTTACACTGTTTTCTGTAAGGGGTGTAACCAGGAGTATATTTCGTAACCTCTTACGATATAAGAGGGCCACAAAGTGTTTTATTACTTAATGCTTAAAATTTAATAATATATTTGTACACAAAATAAAATAGACTAGAAAGTCAATTAATTAATATTGACGTAATTACTAAATAAGTACAAGATTTTTTTTCTAATTATTTTAGTGTATTTTTAGTCACCTAATTATAAAGGAGAGATATCCAACCATTGCATTATTTTACTCACAAATAAATGTTTTATGGTTCTTATTATAAAACAACGTTTAATTTATTATACACCCCTTAACCCAAACACTCCAAGGAGGATATTTCGTGACCCCTTATTTAAAGTGGACAAGCTTTATTAGTCAATGTTTTAATTACCCAGCGTCTTTAATAAAAATCTAATGTAATTTTTCATAGAAATATCTGACATAAAAAGCAAATTTTATCAAAAAACTTTTTGATTATCTACAAGGAGTAAACCGCTGACAAATGTCTGTATACTAATGCCAAAGTAATGCCAAAAATACAAATTAAATACCAAAATTTCTCATATAATGCCCCACTAATGCCAAGCTGATTCCAATATAATACCACTAATACCACGAATAATATGTAACACATTTGTTTCACGAATTAACCTGTAACAATACTGGTAGGTACGTGCACAGATTTTTTCCTAGGTAACTTAAAAGTCGTTAAAAAGTCTAATTATATTTAAAGAAGATATAATTCCAACAAATTACATTATAAGGCCAATAATGCACAAGTAATACCATTAAAATTTTAGCGTTTTTAACTTGTGTAACATATTTCTTTAACGAATTAACCTGTAACAATAGTGGTAGGTACGCGCACAGATTTTTTCGCTAGGTAACTTATTAAGTCGTTAAACAGGCCTATAAAAGCTATAACAACATAGGTAACTAATATTTATAATTTAATTCGAGTTTTAATCTCAAATAATAAATGTTTTTACTGGTGTATTTCTGAAGTGTTCATTATTAAAAGTAGATATTCTTCAAGTTATGCGAAGTAATAAGTAATGTTTCCGGTGAGACCGCGTATATGTCACCGGATTCTGGTTAGTATAAAGACTTTTTCTATAGAAAGAGTTTTTTCTATATTTTCCTTTCAAAATAAGACTAATTTCTTCTTATTCTTTTAAATATTACAGTGTTTCTTTTTCCTAAAATGTTATACTTAATTTTCGCTTAAAATTAAAAAATCACAAATGGAGGAAAATATACGTTATTGAATAAAGTTTATACAAATCACTTTACCATAACAAAAAAGTAAAAACATGTCATGGCGGAAGATATTCAGGTGGCATTTCACACATTTATCTATTAAAATCGAGATTAAAATAATAAACTTGCGTAACATGTTATACACGAGATAGAAAGTTTCAGAATCGATTAATACGCAATACGCTACGCAGTCAACTTATTCCTATGCGCGGATGAGCGTCTTCAAGACTCTTCCTTCGGCCAGGGTCACGACGCCGCCGAAGAGGAATCGGCCTACGTTTGGCTAAACAGGCTGGACACGGTGGAGTACGATATTGGCGAGTCTGAATATTTATAAAAATTTGCAAAGTAAAATATGTTGGAAAAATAATTAGTCCATACATATATAAAAGCTCAAAGGGTTTTTTTGTTGCATCCATCCCGCCGAAAGCGCTTTACCAATCTTGATGATTCTTTTTTTAAATGAAAGGTATATATGTGTAGATTTGTTATGAAGTATTTTTATAGTGCTTAATGGCTATTTCTTTGTGTAAAACGACTAAATACTAAAACATACCTGAAAACACCTACACACAATACCTCCAGAAATAAATTAGTTGTCATTGTCAGTGGTGTGTCAGTTAGATTATATATTACGTTTTTAGATATTTTAGAGTGAGTTGATGCCGCCAGCTTTAGATACATAAATATTAGCACAAAGGTTCGTTTAAACGACATTAGTGAATTAGCTACACAAAGCGATTTTAGGAAATTCATCCTCTTAGAGAGTAAAATTATCTCGGAACAGTTTGTTGTATGAAAATTCCTTACTATTTCGTCTAGAAGAATGAAATCCTACAAAAAGAATTAGAAGAAATTTTTGAAATTCATCAACCAAATGGGTAAAGTTAGTAAAAATTTATATAAAACTTGGTGACGTCTGGATTATACACATAAAAATTGGCACAAAGGTAAAGCGAATTTATGAAATTTATACCCTTAGGGAGTAAAATAGGGAATGAAAGTTTGCTGTACGAAAATGCAATACTATAACATTATAAACCAGACAGTATAAAATTTTATACAAGGGTTTATTTAGTGACATCATAAGGAAATATATCTTCCTCAATTATCCTTCAAAGAATAAAAAATAACCTATAAAGAGAGTATTAGTGCTCTTAATAAATAAAAAAAAGATGAAAAATAAAAAACATCTATATGTTCACTAGCTCTCTATAAAGAAGTAAAAAATCATTTAAATCAATGCATAAACGATTCGAGGTGTAACGCGAACGTAGTTGCGAGAAAAAGCTAGTAATTTATTAAATTATTTTATTTAACTCATTAATTTTCATTGAAAAGGAATTTTTGTAATTCGCCACTATATTAGTTAAAAACTAAGAAACTCATATCAAATTTAAGTTTTGCGATTTTGACTTATACTTTTTATAAAATCTGAACACATTTTAAAAGAAAAAAAGTTTTTGATAATATTTGTGTAGATTGACTACAAGTTGTATAACATAAATTTCTACGACCGGTCTACCTAGTAGTCTGCAGCATCGCCTTTGGTGCAAACGTGGGCCTGTTAATCTGTGACGTGACGCACAACAGCCAAGAAAAGCAGAAGCGTGGCTAAGAATTTAGTAATTTAAAAAAAGTCTTTTAGATACAGTAGTAGGTATTAAAAAGTTTTGTGTTTAAATGGGGTTTGCCTTTAACAGTTAAAAAAATATATCGTAAAGTGTAACTTTCCGTAAGAATTCTTTATCTGATCATTGATCATGATCTGTCATCATGTTAACCTGATGTTTTGTATGTTATTTTGTTTTTTTCGAGGTTTTTTTGCTTGCTTGTTTTACGGATAGGTGCGATCGCATAATTATTATTGATAATGTTTTATTTAATGTTAACATTACTACTTTTTCAGTGAATCTTTAAATCTCTTGTTTTTTGTTCGTTATTTAAACATAATATGTATGTAATACACTCATATTAACACTAATCATATTTTTACGTTTTTATTCATCATTTTCAATGCCCCCCCGGTTGCATCTTTGTAAAGGACTGTGAATTTTTTTAAGTTAAAATTTCGCCATTG